GGCTTCTGGTATTAAAGCCCAACCTAAGAAGTCCATAAGCCCAAGAAAATGTAGGATTTATAGCAAATAGGTTTAATATAGATAGTTTCTTAACTTTCCTATGTTAATATTTGATGTAGCCATGAGCAGCCTCTCCAAAACCTTTAATGAAATTTAGTCTTTCCTTTGTTCATGGTGACAACATTAACTTCATCCTTTCACCTTAATTTCTTGTTAAATAAAGCTCACTGAACTATTTTCTATTTCAGTATCTTTAGAGTTAGAATTCTTCTTGCATAGACACAACTTTCATATGCTAAGCTTTATATCTAAATGAGTATCTCAACTTATATTAAAAAAAAAATAGTAAATATTAGTTGGGGTATTTCAAGAAACCCCACAATATTGATTACGGTATGGTCTGCGCAATTGAAAAAATGAGTTTGTGATGTTTTCAAAACCCCACAATATTGATTACGGTAATTATTTCTTTATCAATCAAAAAGATTGTTGAATCTTAGCCACATCTTCCTCGACTATAACCCCAACACCTAGTGGAAGCAAGAAGCATCATCCAAACACATGGAAGAAGCTCAAACACTAACGTTCACACTACTCCTCTTTCTTCTTACTCTCATCTTCTTCCTCTTTAGAAACAGAACCAAACGAAAGCTCAAACTTCCTCCAAGTCCACCTTTCGCGCTTCCAGTCATCGGCCACCTCCGCTTACTCAAGCCGCCTCTCCACCGCGTTTTCCGTTCCATCTCTCAGTCTCTAAGCGGTGCTCCCATCTTCTCCCTCCGTCTCGGCACCAGACTCGTTTTCGTTGTCTCTTCACACTCAATAACGGAGGAATGCTTCACGAAGAACGACGTCGTACTAGCGAACCGGCCAAACACCATCGCTTCCAAACACATCTCATACGACCACACAACCATGATCTCAGCTCCGTATGGCGAACACTGGAGAAACCTCCGCCGCATAGGTGCCGTTGAGATATTCTCGGCTCACCGGCTTAATAGCTTTCTGTCTATACGACAGGACGAGGTTCGGCGGCTTATAGTTCGTCTCTCACGGGACACTTTATACGTAAGTGCGGTTACAACTCATTCAGATTTTGTATAGTGTGAATTATACAATCTTAAATTACTAAATTGAGGTAAATTACTATTGGCAACATTCTATTTCTGGAAATGTGTATGGCTAAGTTTGGATATAAATCTGTGGAAAATTCAATATATTATAAGTAGTTGAGAAATATTCTTTTTGTTAATTACAAAACTTTGTTTTATGAAATACCGAAATATTTTTATGTAAACTTGTAACTTAGAGCAATTTTATCTGTTAGATACCGTGAGTGTTTAAAAATAACGGTATTATAATTACATAATTTATTTTGAATTTCTTAAACAGATAAAATATTAGTTGAATGGCGTGTTATCTCAGGTTCTCAATAGTCGCTAAAATTCTTATTTTTATTTTTATTCCTTCTCTTATTTTGTTTTTGATTAATTTCTTTCTCTTAGTTTTGAGAACTCCATATAGAACCTAGCAAAACCGAAGTAAAGTTATGTGAATCGTGTCATTGATTATTCGCAGGAGTTTGCTAAGGTGGATATCCACTCAATGTTTTGTGACTTAACATTCAACAATATCATCCGTATGATGACCGGGAAACGTTACTACGGAGATGCTTCAGAGGAAAACTCGGAGGCCAAACACGTAAGGCAGCTTGTCGCGGACGTGGTGAGTGTTTTTGGTGTTGGAAATGCTGTTGACTATTTACCTGTCCTGCGTTGGGTCACGGGTTATGAGAAACGGGTTAAAGCACTCGCTGGTAGGTTTGATGAGTTCTTGCAAGGATTGGTTGATGAAAGGCGAGCAGCTAAGGAGAAAGGGCAAACGATGATTGATCACTTACTTTCTCTGCAAGAAACACAACCTGAGTACTACACGGACCGCAACATTAAAGGAACCATACTCGTAAGTAACCTATAACATCATTTTAATTGTTTCTGTCACATTAATTAATGCTTGCAACTTGTAAGTAACCGAGAAGTGTAACGTGCAGTCTTTGATACTAGCGGGGACTGATACATCAGCGGTAACATTAGAATGGGCATTGTCGAGTTTGTTAAACCATCCAGAGAAACTGAGAAAGGCGAGAGAAGAAATCGACAGTAAAATAGGTTTAGACAGGCTTGTGGAGGAATCAGACATCTCAAACCTTCCTTATCTTCAGAACATTATGTCTGAAACATTACGTCTATACCCCGCGGGGCCTTTGATGGTGCCTCACGTTGCATCAGAAGACTGTAAAGTAGGAGGGTATGACATGCCACGTGGCACGACACTATTGGTGAACCTGTGGGCTATGCACAGAGATCCTCAGCTATGGGATGATCCCGAGACTTTCAAGCCGGAGAGGTTCGAGAGAGAAGGGGAGGCTCATAAGCTAATGGCGTTCGGGTTAGGAAGAAGAGCATGTCCTGGATCAGGACTGGCTCAAAGGCTGGTGAGCTTGACTCTAGCGTCTTTGATTCAATGTTTTGAATGGGAGAGGATGGGAGAAGAAGAGGTGGATATGACTGAAGCTGGAGGAGTCACAATGCCTAAAGCTAAGCCTCTGGTAGCCATGTCTCGAGCACGTACCTTTGTTGGTAGAATCCTCCATGTGTCTACTTGATATATAGATGTAAGAATACTTCATTAGATCAAATGGATCACCGTCGAATATATAACATATATATGTATCTAAAAATGAACATGATTTGAAAATGGGATCCATGTATATTTTTTAAAAGCGTATTAGTTAAATTGTATACAAAATTTCAATAACTACAACTTTATGCAATCATATAAGTCCCGTAGAGATAAATAGAATGGTGGCTAGAAAGCGATACTACGGTGAGGAAAAACGACAAAGGCTTAATTACTATTAAGAGTTAAAGACTTTTATATTCTTATTTAAAAATAAGAATATTAAGAATTAAAGACTTATATTCCTATTTATGTAGAGAAAACAAAAATTGTAACTTTTAATTTACAAGTCAATAACAGTCGATAGACTGATTTGCATCTCTTATACTACATATTGAAAAGATGCAAAGCAATGTCTGGTGTATATAATTCTTTCCCTTAAATAATGTATTGTTCCATAAAAGCAATATCACGATCGATCACATCGGAAAATTCTAGAAATACATATGGTGTATATGGTAACCTTTTGTAACGATAAGTCGTGGAAAGGATTCTGAGCCTTTGGACTGCCCCATATAATATAAACGTATCACTGTTTAAGCATGATAGCGAGCAGTTTGGATGTCACGATGTCCACCGAATAATCTAAAAGAATGTTGAGAATATCGAATTAAGAGAAATTTTCAACAGGGTGTTTTGGATTGATAAGACGAAAGAGACGTGGTTAGGGTCGTCATTATCTGGATTTAAAACTTTGACGTTTGCTCAGTATTATCAGATAATACTAATAAATAAATAAAATTAGCATATCATTATCAGATTACTATAATTAATAGAAAGCGTCGTCTTCAGTATCTATACTATATAAAGATTTATTATTAGTGGCGTATGCTTTCAAAACTAATAATATTTCTTTATACATGTATTCTTACATACTTGTTAGATCTCTTACAAAAAAAAATGAATTTATAAACGTTCATAGATCAAACTATAGAGAATGTTTATAAGGATTTTTTCTTAATATACAGCTGTATATATATATATATATTGTTATAAGGTATTTACGAATAGAAATAAACGTTTATAACTCAATTTATGAATTTGTAAAGTATTGTATATAGATTATATTTTAAATCATATTTTTCTAAATAATATTTTGAGACATGGTATCATAAAATAGTATTTCTCAATACACCATTAGAATATGAAAAATTTACACTTGGACATACTTTTCTTTTATCTATTTACATTTTTACATACTTTGAGCTGGTAAGGTACTTTTTAAGTGGTTTACCTAAAAAACCCTTCTAACTAAACAGATCTAAAACCTAAAATTTGAGACCGCCGCTAGACACTTCTTCTTTTTTTTCTTCACTGCTCTTCTTCTTTTTCTCTTCCTATATTTTCCACCGTAGTTCTCTAGACCATCCAAAATTTCTTCTTCTTATTCTCTTCCTATCTTTCCCTACTGCACACAATTCTCTATCCTATCAAAAATTTCATCATCGCAGACAATGGTGATAGTGATGGTTCCCATTCTAACTCATCGAGGAGCCTTAATTAACGAATAATGTATAGAACTCCCTTCCTTCCCACAACCATCTCAGAAACAATTTGTTTATTCTTCGCCCATCCATGACCACATCCACTCTAACTTGAGCCATGACCACAACCATCCCAATCTCATCCATAATCATACCTCTGTTTCCCACAACCACTCTACCTCGTAACCATGACCCCAACAATGACCTACTTGTGACCAAGATCTCCATCGAACCCAACTCAGATTGTAGATATCCAAACATCTATCATGCCTGACCAAAGGTGTTTGACCACAAAATAAATGTGTTGGTCTGCTTAATTTACCGACAACCACATCTTCTAATTGATTACTAACTTGACCATATCAAATAACGTTAAATATGACCATAACTCTTACGCTAGAACTTCTGTTTTTATTCAATGGTAAATTTGTCATATTAAATCAAAAAGATAAGCCTAAAATACACCTCAAACATAAAGTATGTTAAAATGAAATAATACAGGTCCAAAGTATGTTAAACTGTTAAGCTCTCTTAGAATATCCTTGCTCTCTTTTTTTTTGGTTATTTCCGTTCACTCGTTGTTAGAAAATCCCTCGAGCCATCAACCTTGATACTCTTAAATGTCAAATCGAGCGATTTTTATTTCTCAAAGATTGTTTGATTGTTCAATAAGGTTTTTCTTTGGTAAATAAACTCTTATGTAGACAGTGTGCAGAAAAAACGGTAATTAATTAACAATTAGGACACTAATAATGTTACTTTACTTTCAAGTAGGGTTGAAAAATGGGTATATAATGATGGAAGAGACACAAAGCTAGAGAAAAAGAAAAAGAAGAAGAAGAGAAAAGTCATGGATTATGGTTTACTTATTCTCACCATTCTTACAACTATTCTCATCACTAAGTTTATTCTCAGACTCTATCAACCCAACAAAAACCTTCCGCCGTCGCCACGTTTCTGTCTTCCGATTATTGGCCACCTTCACCTCCTCAAACAGCCGTTGCTTCACCGCGCTCTCCTCAACCTCTCGCACTCCCTCGGCCCCGTGTTCTCTCTCCGCCTAGGCTCTCGCCTGGCCGTTATCGTGTCCTCTCCAGCCGCAGCCGAAGAATGTTTTTTAACAAAAAACGATATAGTCTTAGCGAACCGGCCTCGTTTCACCATGGGAAAATACGTGGCGTATGACTACACTTCCATGGTTACGGCTCCTTACGGTGACCACTGGCGAAACCTCCGTCGTATCACCGCCTTGGAAGTCTTTTCAACGCATCGACTCAACGGCTCAGCAGAAATCCGACAAGACGAAGTTAAGAGGCTCTTACAAAAGCTTCACGGTTTATCCGTCCAACGTCCGGCTAAAGTAGGTCCATATATCTCATCTTGATGATTATCTAACTCATAGATAATCATGTTTGATTGGTTCGCATATATTTGTCTCATATTATACAATTTACTTAATACGAGAAACGAATAAAATCAATTATCAATTTTCTTAAGTTTTAACATACTATCATATATTTTCACGTTTTTTTAGTTATAACTACTTTTATTGTTTACATTTTATTATTTTTTATAAATGATTGACAGTTTCAAACAATATAATTTTGACATTTTTTTGTGCACAAACGATTTCATTAATTAAACTAAACCAAAACTGGTACAGGGGCTTGGTTTAGAATAGACATCGCGACAGATTGTTTAGCAGAAGCATCCTCAAAGCCAGTGGCGGAGGTAGCTTATTGCGAAGGGGGTCATATGACTCATGTGGAATTTTATAAAAAGAAAATTTTCGTTACATTTTGAAGATAAAAACTGAGAAAATGTTACAAACTTAGCTTATTGACCCACATGTTATACGTTTATTATATAATTGACCCTCCTAAAATTTTCAGCTGGCTCCGCCACTGCTCAAAGCTAACAACATTACGACAACAAAATCTAAACAAATATAATTTTGACATTTAGAAGCATTTTTGTAGTCTAAATTCTATTTTGATTTTAATAAAGACAATATGTTATATTTTGAATTACAGAATATAGACATGGCTGGAATACATTGTATTCAGCTCTAAATCTATCGGTGCTAATTTGGTTGATAAAGGGAAATGTAGTTGAAATAAATTTGCCCGATTTAGTAATTGGAGAACCTATGACGGAAAGTTTTCTTTCCTTATACATATATTCAGACCAGGAATAGAAAAACATGGTCAATTTGGGGTGTATATCCGGTTAAAGATAACCAAACCGTAATAAGAGCATATTTTTTTATTCAGGTGGAGTTACGACCGTTACTAACGGGTCTTACCCTAAACGTTATAATGAGAATGATGACCGGAAAGAGATTCTACGAGAACGATGAAGGCGGAAAGGAGAAGATAAGCTTGGAGTTCAGGGAGCTAGTGGCGGAGATTCTAGAGCTCTCTGGGGCGGACAACCCGACTGATTTTTTGCCGGCTCTACGGTGGTATGACTACAAAAATTACATCAAGAGAGCAAAGAGGGTTGGAGAAAAGATGGATACTTTCTTACAAGGGTTTTTGGATGAACATAGAGCTAACAAGGGAAGATTGGAGTTTAAGAACACCATGATTGCTCATTTGCTTGATTCTCAAGAAAAGGAGCCTCATTACTACAGTGATGTTACCATCAAAGGTCTCATTCTGGTATGTTTTTCTATACTTCGTTAGAAGATAACTTCCCAAATAACTATATGACAATATATTCTAAGGCATCTGGGATCGCGGTTAAACCACAGTAGAAAACAAAATACTTTTATAACAGGTGCCAAACCAAATAAAAATGAAACTATAATTGAAATATTATACATAAAAATCTATTACGAAACCCATTGATGTTGACACTAGATCACCAATCTTGATTGTTATCTCCAACCCGTGCTGAAGAACAAGAAACCAATGGAATGACGACAAAAAACATTTAAAACAAACAAAAATAGGGGGCAAAGCTATTTAATATTGGTCCCGCCTTATTCCAACTTTATGTCACACAACAAGGGTCCCATTTTTATTGTTTGATTCTGTTATCAGATGATGGTAATAGGAGGCACTGATACATCGGCCCTAACCGTGGAATGGGCAATGTCAAATCTATTAAACCATCCAAGAGTGCTTGAGACAACGAGACAAAACATTGATACTCAAATGGAACCATCATCATCATCAAGAAATCGTCGTTTGTTTAAAGAAGATGATTTGGTGAACATGAACTACTTGAACAATGTTGTATCCGAGACACTAAGGCTATACCCTGTGGCGCCACTTATGGTTCCTCATTTCTCATCTTCTGATTGTGTCATTGGTGGGTTCGATGTTCCACGTGATACAATCGTGTTGGTCAATTTGTGGGCTATACATAGAGACCCAACCGTGTGGGATGATCCAACGTCCTTTAAACCAGAGAGATTTGAAGGGAGAGATCAGCTTGGACAGTATAGTAGTAAGATGATGCCGTTTGGTTTAGGGAGACGGGTTTGTCCTGGGTTGGGTTTGGCTAACCGGGTTGTTGGGTTGGTGTTGGGTTCGATGGTTCAGTGTTTTGAGTGGGAGAGTGGCTCAGGAGGACCGGTTGATATGACTGAAGGTCCGGGACTCAGTATGCCCAAGGCTGAACCATTGGTTGTCACATGCAGACCACGTGAGGTGGCATCCGAGTTACTCTTCTGAGGATCCAAGAATGTTTAGATTGGAATTAAGGTTTTAAGATACTATAATTAATCATAATTAATAATCTTTGTAATAATAATTGAATATACTGTTGATAAAATTTACTATTCGATTATATTGGTGGTGGTTGAAGAAGTTGACATGATGTCGGAAACAAAAAATAAATAAAATCATTTCGTTTGTTGAAAGTAATACAGTCCACAGAAAGTTCGTTCTTATCTTGGATATTTTGAAAGTTACATTATTATTTCAGATTTTATAACAAAAACATATTTAATTAGTTTATTTCAAAATAACACAACATCTGGAAGAAGATAAAGTACACACATTCAAAGATCCAATTCAAGAACTCTCACTCCGGTTCGGTTTAGACGAAGATTCTGAACCAAGGTCCTCCTCCACCGCAGGAATCCAATCGTTAGTCGCCGGATTACTTTTGTAAACGGCCTTTTCACCTCCGTCTCCGATTGCAGCGGCGGCTATCACGGCCTCTTCACCGCCTTCCTTCACCACATTGATAAATCCACTTCCGGTCTAATATGAGAAACAGAGCCACATTAACTACAAAAGTTGAGTTTCTTTTTTTTTGTAAAAAATAAAAGTTGAGTTTCTTTTTTTTTTTTGTAAAAATACAAAAGTTGAGTTTCTTGCTTAAGCTGTAGATTTAAAGAAAGAGAGAGAGAGGAAAGAAAATGAGAAACCGTGTGATGCTGCTTATCAATGGAGGTGAGCTTCGTGTAATAATCTGTCTCCAAGAACTCATCTTGAACAGCAGCTGGATCTCCTTCATGCAAAATATCAACCTAAAATTTTTTTTAACTACAAAATATCAATTTTCACGATAAGTTTACGTTGAAAAGAGAAAGAGTGAGCTAGAGAAACCGAACATGAGTTTGTGACTGAAGAGTTTGGAACTTGTCAGCCTCAGGATGGTCTGTGGTAGGCTCGGGAGTAGAGAAACATCCAATAGGGCCTGGCTCGCTCCGGGTGGGTTTAGTGGGTCGTTTAGGGGCCAAGGCATCGAAACCAGCTCTGACCTGGTTCGTGTTCTTGATCTGTTGATCCGGGTCGGTCATCTCGTCGCTCCGGCTTGGCTTCATCGTACTCATCGTCGCCTTCTCTCTCTTTTGCTTTGGTTGGTTTACAACTAGAAAGAGATGATTAATTTTGCTCACAGGTTTGGTTAAAAAAGAAAAATAAAATTGGCCTTTAGATGGGCCTGGTTGTTTCATTTCTCTTTATGAAAAGTAATAGGCCCTTCAATATGGTAATACTGAACTGACAATATAGTTTGGAATTAGTATTATCATCATATAAATGGAATGGATATGATTTAAAAAACAACAGTAAAATTTACATATAATTAGATTTATAACTGATCAAACCGAATAAACCTAACAAAATCGATCAAAATAAAAACATATAAATATATACTTTATACATGATAACTGATTTGATATATAAGTTGATTTTCTTGTTAATAATTAATAGCATACGCTTTTACATTAAAGAATTTTTATTTTGAAAAATACTTAAACGGTAAAAATAATTATTTACTGTACGTTCTTTAAATCTTATCTAAATTTGATTTGATTTTGCATATTTTAAAAAGAATTAAAAAATTAGATGATGATATGAAATTTCTTTGAAAAAACATAAAAGACAACAAGAACTATAAAAAACTAAGTCATTGATCATTTTATTTGTTATATTTGTCATTTTATTATTTATTAATATCCGAGATTGTTTTAATAAATGATAGTTTTGACAACATATCTCTTTAAAATTCATATAATATAAAACTAAATCAAGTAATAATATTTTATGGTATAAAACTGAATAAACCAAAAATTGGTAATATAAAAATAGAACCAAACCAGATTAGATATAGTTATAATATGATAGCTAATTTTCATAAATCGAAACCGCAAAAACTGAATCGAAACCGGACAGAAATCCGATTGAACATACCTAAATAATCACCACATGTTTTAATCATAAAAAAGAAACACGTGTCAGAACTTTAATGTTTTGTCAATTTTCTCCAAAGCAATATATTCACAATTCGATCCACTTTCTACAAAGTAATTTTGTAAGTTACCAGATTTTGTAGGGAATACGAATCTCAGAGCTGGATGGCAATTTAATAATCGTCGATATTGGGCCCTATTCAGAACATATATAAGAGCATGTTTATCCCTTGATCCTTAAGTGGATTTCTTAATAATTATTTAATATTTTAAATGTATTTAAGTGGACTTAAGAACTCTACTTAAGAAACTCCTATTTTCAGCGGTCCAATGGGAGTTTCTTAATTAAGGATTCTTAATTTTTTTTATTTTTAAAGATAAAATTTATTTATTAAATAAAACATATTAAAA